TGCCAGGCTTTAAAACCGAAAATTCGGATATAACAGCCAGTTTAGCTGGACATTTTGGCAGCACACGCAACCAAAAGCGTGACTGTGTCTGGCTTTATCCAGACGTCCGGTAACGCTAAATTCACTCATACCTCCATTTAATGGATATGAGCGGGATACAATTCGTCTTATAATGTAACTTTTTATAACTCTTTATAATGTAATAGCGGTGCCCAGCGGTTTCACCCGCGTATATCACGCGTCGAGCCACGCAACATGGCATGAACCCTTTTTGAAGCATTTTAATTAGAAATTAGCATTTTTAAACAAACAAGAAAAAAACAAAAAACTTTTCCTGCTTTATTATATAATAAGTAGGTAAGCGTAAGATTTTCTCTCTGTATTATTACTGGGTTAATAAAACAAGTACGCAAATAAACAAGAACATGCGTTTTGAGATGGCTGATGACCTGTAACTCAGGTTTTTAATATAAAACCTATAATAGGCACCAGTCTCTCACAACATTAGGTCCTTACTACATTGTTACTGTAAACTAGCCAGTAAGTTGTGAAGAGATAAATAAATTGAGTTGAGTTGAGTTTAGTCTCTTTATATTACGCCATATATGAGAGTATGTACACTCGTATCTTCTCATTTATAAAAAAATGACATCCCTATTATAGTAAGTAGTACTATGTGTGACGTTATTTTACAAGACATAACGTATTTATTTTGTAGTAAGCCCGTTGTCAAAACTCGACATCGATATACTGGTTTTTTGTTTACATATTTATTATTTATTACTTCAATATATCTCTAAAATAAAAATAAAATAGGATTAGTATTAGGTATTATCAAACGAATGATCAATTAAATTATTTTCTTAATCAAGTAATGATGATTATATTACAACCACATTGCAAATATTCGTGTCACAAACTTTAAAATCTAATAGTTAGGTATGAATATTTAGTCTTGATAGTCACACGGTACATAAGCCAGCTGGAGCTATTTTGATCCCAATTGTATATGCTGATTTACCACTTGTTTAGCAGAAAATTAAGCCATCAAGATGTCTATATCTGCTTGGGTAAAATATTTCGAAAATATGAAGTAAAGGCGGCGGGGCTGATAATGCCGTGTAGTGGCGGCGTAAGAGAATCCACTACATCTTACCAAAGAATATAACATTATTATTTAAAATATAGAATAATACACAATAGAATGGCTGTCAACCTTACTTTGTAGGAGCATACAAGCAATTACGTTGTATTATCAGTTATCACTACTACAAACATATTTTAGACTTTTGATTAATGTTTTTGTCACATAAATGTTTCTTTATTTTTGTTTCTAATATTCACAAAATATAAATAGTTTTGACTTACTGGTTAAAGAATATGTCCCCTTTATTTAAATTCCATTTCCCGCTGTACTTTCGACACGTAATTATTGCAAAATTTGCCATTTTTTAAATAATTTGCATGCAGCGACGCTTGACACGAAAATTGGAAACGATTGATTGTGTTGACATTTATTTTCATGAAGTGTGAAATGACGTGTTAGTGACTAGTTAGTAGCTGCACGGGCTCCGCCCACTCCCTCGTTAAATTATGTATGTATTATAGTATTCTATGATTTAAAAGCTCTAAATCCACATACCATCTCATGATAACAACTCAAAGTAATAAAAATTTGTGGATGCTTAGAGAGATAACTTTAACAAGTATTATCGCTGTGATTTAATCAATGGAAAAGAACTATGTTCAGAAGTAGACTTGAAAGGCAGAAATTTATGAATGAATGAGTGAAAATATTTTGAAGTAACAGAGAAGGAGGGCAATACGTGCGTAATCGATTTATTGGTAGTTGCGATATAGCCAAAAAAATATGAGGCAGACCGCGGTCTTGTTGTGGTTATTATACTATCGTAGCAGTGTCCTATGTGTATGTTACGTGAAGCAAACCCTGGCTCGATTAGACAAATAAAAATAAATATAATATTTCAAAGGAGTACTTGGTTAAATTTTCAAAGTTATTATTCTCTGTACAAGACATAATTCTAAAAGCCAATTATTCTAAGGTCTAAGAATAATTTGGCAAAAATATACCAACTGAACTTAAATATATATATATATATATATATATATATATATATAAAGCAATAGTTATTTAGTAGTAATTCTTATTTAAAGACTTTTTAATTTTTACTACCGATTGGGAAAATTCTACGTAAATACTGAGAAGCATCAGCAAGAAACCTATCGGGATATTTCACAGTAACATTAGCATTATATATAATTATTCTGTCTTTATTGAACTCTGTCTTTATTGAATTTAAGAACAGGAATGAGTCGAAATTTGATCCCCAAAAACGCATAATAATACAAGTGAGCTTAGAGTTTTTATCATTGACAGCAAGTTATTATTCTGCGTTTTATTACTAAGTGTTATTTTTATTAATATGATTCTAATAAGAAATTAAAATTATTTTTAATTAACAGGATATTGGATTCAAACGATCAGGAATACAATATTTATTATATTCCTGTTCTTTTCAATATATATTAGAATTATATATTATATATTTAGAATATTAATTAGGAGGAATATAATATTTATATATATATATATATATATATATATATATATATATATATATGATTAAAATGACGAGAAACTGGTGGGACTTTTTGTACAATACAATTGAAATATACCCGCGCACTGCATTTTAAGTTAACGTATTACAAAGCGTTAATCCGTAAACATTACATAGCTTCAGTAGATTAAGGTTAGTTGTCATATTCAGAGGAATATTTAGTTAATCTGCTTCAAAATCCAGAGCCGTGGCAATGTGTGTTTAAGCCTTTAATGTAACTATTACGTTCAACTGAGCGCAATATAAGCATTATCAGTTCACCCTTTGATTTGTACGATTTAAATATGTTATTCCAATAACCAATGTATTTACTCTATGAATTTAAGCTGCATTTAATGCGTCATTACATCTGCTCTAAAAAGTCATTTTCTTAACTTGAAAATATTTTTTTATTAACTTGAAAATTATACCACAAAGATCACACTTACAGAATAACAGCCGTTTTTTCAATCTTGAAAATCTTGACCACCATGCTAATGCAAGTTCTTGAAAGATTGACAAAAATTTTTAACTAGAAGTTAATACATTATTCCTTAGGTTATTAACATGAAGAAAATCCTATTTCGATTACTTATTCGTCATTTAAACACTGCCCCCATTTACAATTCTGTGAACTTATTAATATGTATATTATTTTAAAATTTTAAATCATATCTAATCTACGAATAATATATTAATCTACTAAATTAACTATTTAGTTAGCAATTTCATTGATTAAAACTACTTTTACGGATTTTATCGCGTTTTATTTATTTTATTTTTAATACTCGACGTTTCGGGTGCTTTCCAGCACCCATGGTCACGGGGGACTGAGGTGACTGACGTCCCGATGTCAAAGTTAACCCGGAGTACCTTCAGCTTTTTAATTATTGTCTTTGATCCGATCTACGCAGAATGAACTAACTGTGTTTTGAAGTCTTGCAGTGGTATGCTTGGGTTTAGTTTTAATTTTATTAATTATAGGATCCCAAGCAGGTGGTAGTACCCAGCCTGCTTCTCTATTGAAATTAGGATGTTTTTTTTAATTTCAATAGCCTCACGTATCATCCTTGGTAGAATCGATGTTCTTTCTTGAGGATTTGTGGTCTATCAAATCTGTTGTAATGGTTGGGGCCATCTAGAATATGATCGCAAACTGCAGACTTCCCGGAACGTTGATACTTCACGTCAGCTATGTGTTCTTTTACGCGGGTAGATCTTAAATCAGGCGAGTAAGAAGTTGTTAATAACGGTGATTTAGAAAAAACGTACCAATCTATGTTTCATAAATGAAACCATATACTATTCGTCCAGTGAATTAAAGACAGTTTTATCGACATTTGAATATAAGAATTGCATGGAAACTTTAGATAAACGCGAAACAACTAAATACAATGAATGCAAAAATAAACCTATTGATAAATACTAAAAATTAAAAACTAAATCAAATGTACAACATAAATGGCAACGTAAAAACGAAACGACCACAGACACGAATAGTAAATATGGCGTGGTCTATAACCTGTCAAAACAAACTCTGGACGACGCCACAATAAAATTTTTGGGAGAAGTTTTAATTATGCAATTACACCGCGAAGAATCCCGTATGAAGACATTATCTGCAGTGTTGAGGATTGTCTGTATAAAAATAATATGGGTAATGAAGATTTAGAGGCCATACGCCAAGATATTTCGTCTATATTACATCGAAGTAGAGCGCCGAAATTAAATCTTCCCAAAAATGAATTTAACGCGTTAAAAACCTTACGCAACAAACCAGAGCTTACGATTCTCCGCGCAGATAAAGGAAATGCTACGGTTGTAATGGATACGTCGGATTACAATTTTAAAATACAATAACTTTTGTCGGATGAAAGTACATGGGGGAATCCGGGAGACTTGCCCAGGGAGGAGACTTGAACCGACTCTGATTTCTCATTTGAATTTTCGCGCTAACAGCCTGATTGCCCACTAATAAGGTGATCAGGTGGCAGCCAATCACGAGCGTTCAGCCATTTTGTCAAAATTCATACGCGTTGGATCTTGACCGGCATATACCTGTTTATCTCATTCTCAAGTAAATAAAAATAGAAAAACTGTTTTGATCGCTGTGAATCGATTAATGAAGGTAAGTAAGATTTAGTTTTATTATATTATCGCATGATTATCGTATTTGAATGTGTGTACTATAGCATTTTGTTGCAAATTGTGGTATCTGAGTAAAGCAAGCTAGAATCCGGAAAGGGGGGGGGGGGGTGTGGGAGATTTGAACCACTTAGTCGGTGGGAGATATGACCATTGGTTCAAGTCTCCCTACAGTGACTACAGCTGCGTCTGTTGACTGTTGCTAAGTTAAGTGCTCTTTTATATTCCAAGACAAAGATGCCGTTTCAATACAACTACTTCTCTTCTCAAGGTACTACCCGTCGCAGAAAATTCACAAAGCGTGACCTTGAGCAAGCTATTAGTGAGATTCAGGGAGGTGCTTCTATTAGAAAAACAGCCATTAAATATGACATTGATAGAACGACTCTACGAAAGTTCCATGTTTGCGGTGAAGTGACATTAAATAAAATAGAAAAAAAAGGTAGTCAGTACAAAAGGTCGCAGATTTTTGACAATAGGGAAGAAAAGCTATTAGTAAACCACCTTTTGGCATGCAGTAAAATGCACTATGGACTGACGAGAAAACAAGCCATGCAATTAGCCTTTGATTATGCTCTAGCAAATAATAAAAAAATACCTCAAAGTTGGACAAATAACAATTCTGCTGGAAAAGATTGGTTCCGAGGTTTCTTAACTAGAAACCTGGAAATAAGCTTAAGGACGCCTGAAGCCACCAGTTTGTCGCGAGCTACAAGTTTCAACAAAAAAAATGTTGTAACAGACTTTTACGAAAACTTGAAGCAAGTGCGAGAAAAGTATAATTTTGAGCCACAAAATATATATAATTGTGATGAAACTGGCTGTACTACTGTCCAACAATGCCCCAAAGTATTGGCAAGTAAAAAAGCCAAGCAAGTAGGACATGCCACCTCTGCTGAAAGAGGTAATCTAGTTACAGTCTGCTTCGCTGTAAACGCCATTGGAAATGCCATGCCTCCTTTTTTCATATTTCCGCGTGTTAAATACCGACCTGACTTTGTTAATGGGGGACCTGAAGGGTTTGATGGAGATTCATACATTATGGGTTGGATGACTGCCAAGAGCTTCCTAAAATTCATGGAACATTTCAAAAAGCACTCCCATGCATCGAAAGATAATCCCGTGTTATTAATTCTTGATAACCACGAAAGCCATGTGAGCATCGAAGTGATAAGTTATGCAAAATCCAACGCCATCACATTGCTTACACTTTGCAGCAATAAGTTGCACCCTTTGGATATCGCTGTATATTCGTCATTTAAATCGAGATATAATACTGCGTTGAGCAACTGGATGCTTTCAAATCCTGGAAGAACAGTAACGATATACCAAATTCCTGGATTCATCAAAACGATTATGTGGCAAGCATTCAGCCAAACCAACATTGTAAGCGGATTCAAAAATCGGGAATACATCCTTATAATGATAATCTGTTCAGTGATGAAGATTTCATGTGTTGTGCTGTAACAGATAGGGATATATCCAATGAAAATTATGAACTTCCCAGTAGTTCGTCTCAATGTCGCCAAGCTCAGCTTGTCTTTTCAAGCGCTCAGCAAGATCCACCAGATTTTCCGCAGAGCGTCAACGACGTAGATCAGGAAATTCTGTCAACATCTCAACAGAGCCCTAATGATGAAGTTCAGGACCCTCCATCTAGTCCCGTGCTTGATTTAAATAATGTTTCGCTTCTGGATTCAGTGACTGTTTCTCTAACAAATAACCAACTAAACCCTCCAGCTCAGAAAAGTCCGCAAACCTCTGACAAAGTCTTAAAAAGCTTTTCACATGCACCATCAGACTCTGAACCAAATTCACTCAACTGTTCTAAAGTTTATCCTGAGAGCCTGGTGAATTGTTGCCTGACTAAATTGGCTCTCATGGCTAAATTAAATTGTAATTTAGAAGTTTCTTTTCATCAGTGCCAAGAGACTGATATAAATTATTATTATCCTCCAAATTCACCTACTATGTCACAAAAGCTGGATATTCCGCAAACTCCGGACCGTGTTACTAAAAAAGTAACTATTACACCAGAAATAATAAGGCCATATCCAAAAGCTGCAGCCCGAAAGACAACACGGCGTGGACGACAACCTGGAAAAACAAAAATTCTAACAAAAACTTCTGAAAAAATTACAGATGATTCAAATGAAATTCTTAAGAAAACAACAACTATGGCCAAAGGTGACAAGTCCTCAAAAACTAAAGCTAAGAATAATATTAAAAGAGGAAAGAAGGTAGACACAAAAAAAGCAAAGAGGCAAGTTTTACAAGAAAAGAACAATGACACAGATTGTGAAGATGATTTTAAAGCAGATTCTAATAAAATGAAAGAAAAACTAAAGCAAGGGAAAAATAAAATAAAAAGAAACAAAGATACAGGACCAGCAAAAATCAAAAAAAGGAAAAATAAATAAACAACAGAAACGGTCTCGCACGTTAGCTCGCTCAATTGACAGTGAATCTGAAGAAAATTATGACGATTGTATTCCTTATGCTGATAGCTCTAATGACGGTGACTGGGAAGTGGAAGGAGTACCAGAGTTGGATACTCGTTGGTATTGCTTTATTTGTGGTACTGAAGAACTCTTGACATCATTGACAGCAAGTTATTATTCTGCGTTTTATTACTAAGTGTTATTTTTATTAATATGATTCTAATAAGAAATTAAAATTATTTTTAATTATCAGGATATTGGATTCAAACGATCAGGAATACAATATTTATTATATTCCTGTTCTTTTCAATATATATTAGAATTATATATTAGATATTTAGAATATGAATGAGGAGGAATATAATATTTATATACATATATATATATATATATATATATATATATATATATATATATATATATATATATATATATATATATATAATTTGATTAAAATGACGAGAAACTGGTGGGACTTTTTGTACAATACAATTGAAATATACCCGCGCACTGCATTTTAAGTTAACGTATTACAAAGCGTTAATCCGTAAACATTAGATAGCTTCAGTAGATTAAGGTTAGTTGTCATATTCAGAGGAATATTTAGTTAATCTGCTTCAAAATCCAGAGCCGTGGCAATGTGTGTTTAAGCCTTTAATGTAACTATTACGTTCATCTGAGCGCAATATAAGCATTATCAGTTCACCCTTTGATTTGTACGATTTAAATATGTTATTCCAATAACCAATGTATTTACTCTATGAATTTAAGCTGCATTTAATGCGTCATTACATCTGCTCTAAAAAGTCATTTTCTTAACTTGAAAATATTTTTTTATTAACTTGAAAATTATACCACAAAGATCACACTTACAGAATAACAGCCGTTTTTTCAATCTTGAAAATCTTGACCACCATGCTAATGCAAGTTCTTGAAAGATTGACAAAAATTTTTAACTAGAAGTTAATACATTATTCCTTAGGTTATTAACATGAAGAAAATCCTATTTCGATTACTTATTCGTCATTTAAACACTGCCCCCATTTACAATTCTGTGAACTTCTTAATATGTATATTATTTTAAAATTTTAAATCATATCTAATCTACGAATAATATATTAATCTACTAAATTAACTATTTAGTTAGCAATTTCATTGATTAAAACTACTTTTACGGATTTTATCGCGTTTTATTTATTTTATTTTTAATACTCGACGTTTCGGGTGCTTTCCAGCACCCATGGTCACGGGGGACTGAGGTGACTGACGTCCCGATGTCAAAGTTAACCCGGAGTACCTTCAGCTTTTTAATTATTGTCTTTGATCCGATCTACGCAGAATGAACTAACTGTGTTTTGAAGTCTTGCAGTGGTATGCTTGGGTTTAGTTTTAATTTTATTAATTATAGGATCCCAAGCAGGTGGTAGTACCCAGCCTGCTTCTCTATTGAAATTAGGATGTTTTTTTAATTTCAATAGCCTCACGTATCATCCTTGGTAGGAATCGATGTTCTTTCTTGAGGATTTGTGGTCTATCAAATATGATGTAATAGTTGGGGCAATCTAGAATATGACCGCAAACTGCAGAATTCACGGAACGTTGATACTTCACGTCAGCTATGTGTTCTTTTACGCGGGTAGATCTTAAATCAGGCGAGTAAGAAGTTGTTAATAACGGTGATTTAGAAAAAACGTACCAATCTATGTTTCATAAATGAAACCATATACTATTCGTCCAGTGAATTAAAGACAGTTTTATCGACATTTGAATATAAGAATTGCATGGAAACTTTAGATAAACGCGAAACAACTAAATACAATGAATGCAAAAATAAACCTATTGATAAATACTAAAAATTAAAAACTAAATCAAATGTACAACATAAATGGCAACGTAAAAACGAAACGACCACAGACACGAATAGTAAATATGGCGTGGTCTATAACCTGTCAAAACAAACTCTGGACGACGCCACAATAAAATTTTTGGGAGAAGTTTTAATTATGCAATTACACCGCGAAGAATCCCGTATGAAGACATTATCTGCAGTGTTGAGGATTGTCTGTATAAAAATAATATGGGTAATGAAGATTTAGAGGCCATACGCCAAGATATTTCGTCTATATTACATCGAAGTAGAGCGCCGAAATTAAATCTTCCCAAAAATGAATTTAACGCGTTAAAAACCTTACGCAACAAACCAGAGCTTACGATTCTCCGCGCAGATAAAGGAAATGCTACGGTTGTAATGGATACGTCGGATTACAATTTTAAAATACAATAACTTTTGTCGGATGAAAGTACATGGGGGAATCCGGGAGACTTGCCCAGGGAGGAGACTTGAACCGACTCTGATTTCTCATTTGAATTTTCGCGCTAACAGCCTGATTGCCCACTAATAAGGTGATCAGGTGGCAGCCAATCACGAGCGTTTAGCCATTTTGTCAAAATTCATACGCGTTGGATCTTGACCGGCATATACCTGTTTATCTCATTCTCAAGTAAATAAAAATAGAAAAACTGTTTTGATCGCTGTGAATCGATTAATGAAGGTAAGTAAGATTTAGTTTTTATTATATTATCGCATGATTATCGTATTTGAATGTGTGTACTATAGCATTTTGTTGCAAATTGTGGTATCTGAGTAAAGCAAGCTAGAATCCGGAAAGGGGGGGGTGTGGGAGATTTGAACCACTTAGTCGGTGGGAGATATGACCATTGGTTCAAGTCTCCCTACAGTGACTACAGCTGCGTCTGTTGACTGTTGCTAAGTTAAGTGCTCTTTTATATTCCAAGACAAAGATGCCGTTTCAATACAATACTTCATTTTACAAGGTACTACCCGTCGCAGAAAATTCACAAAGCGTGACCTTGAGCAAGCTATTAGTGAGATTCAGGGAGGTGCTTCTATTAGAAAAACAGCCATTAAATATGACATTGATAGAACGACTCTACGAAAGTTCCATGTTTGCGGTGAAGTGACATTAAATAAAATAGAAAAAAAAAGGTAGTCAGTACAAAAGGTCGCAGATTTTTGACAATAGGGAAGAAAAGCTATTAGTAAACCACCTTTTGGCATGCAGTAAAATGCACTATGGACTGACGAGAAAACAAGCCATGCAATTAGCCTTTGATTATGCTCTAGCAAATAATAAAAAAATACCTCAAAGTTGGACAAATAACAATTCTGCTGGAAAAGATTGGTTCCGAGGTTTCTTAACTAGAAACCCGGAAATAAGCTTAAGGACGCCTGAAGCCACCAGTTTGTCGCGAGCTACAAGTTTCAACAAAAAAAATGTTGTTACATTTTTACGAAAACTTGAAGCAAGTGCGAGAAAAGTATAATTTTGAGCCACAAAATATATATAATTGTGATGAAACTGGCTGTACTACTGTCCAACAATGCCCCAAAGTATTGGCAAGTAAAAAAGCCAAGCAAGTAGGACATGCCACCTCTGCTGAAAGAGGTACTCTAGTTACAGTCTGCTTCGCTGTAAACGCCATTGGAAATGCCATGCCTCCTTTTTTTCATATTTCCGCGTGTTAAATACCGACCTGACTTTGTTAATGGGGGACCTGAAGGGTTTGATGGAGATTCATACATTACGGGTTGGATGACTGCTAAGAGCTTCCTAAAATTCATGGAACATTTCAAAAAGCACTCCCATGCATCGAAAGATAATCCCGTGTTATTAATTCTTGATAACCACGAAAGCCATGTGAGCATCGAAGTGATAAGTTATGCAAAATCCAACGCCATCACATTGCTTACACTTTGCAGCAATAAGTTGCACCCTTTGGATATCGCTGTATATTCGTCATTTAAATCGAGATATAATACTGCGTTGAGCAACTGGATGCTTTCAAATCCTGGAAGAACAGTAACGATATACCAAATTCCTGGATTCATCAAAACGATTATGTGGCAAGCATTCAGCCAAACCAACATTGTAAGCGGATTCAAAAATCGGGAATACATCCTTATAATGATAATCTATTCAGTGATGAAGATTTCATGTGTTCTGCTGTAACAGATAGGGATATATCCAATGAAAATTATGAACTTCCCAGTAGTTCGTCTCAATGTCGCCAAGCTCAGCTTGTCTTTTCAAGCGCTCAGCAAGATCCACCGATTTTCCGCAGAGCGTCAACGACGTAGATCAGGAAATTCTGTCAACATCTCAACAGAGCCCTAATGATGAAGTTCAGGACCCTCCATCTAGTCCCGTGCTTGATTTAAATAATGTTTCGCTTCTGGATTCAGTGACTGTTTCTCTAACAAATAACCAACTAAACCCTCCAGCTCAGAAAAGTCCGCAAACCTCTGACAAAGTCTTAAAAAGCTTATCACATGCACCATCAGACTCTGAACCAAATTCACTCAACTGTTCTAAAGTTTATCCTGAGAGCCTGGTGAATTGTTGCCTGACTAAATTGGCTCTCATGGCTAAATTAAATTGTAATTTAGAAGTTTCTTTTCATCAGTGCCAAGAGACTGATATAAATTATTATTATCCTCCAAATTCACCTACTCTGTCACAAAAGCTGGATATTCGGCAAACTCCGGACCATGTTCCTAAAAAAGTAACTATTACACCAGAAATAATAAGGCCATATCCAAAAGCTGCAGCCCGAAAGACAACACGGCGTGGACGACAACCTGGAAAAACAAAAATTCTAACAAAAACTTCTGAAAAAAATTACAGATGATTCAAATGAAATTCTTAAGAAAACAACAACTATGGCCAAAGGTGACAAGTCCTCAAAAACTAAAGCTAAGAATAATATTAAAAGAGGAAAGAAGGTAGACACAAAAAAAGCAAAGAGGCAAGTTTTACAAGAAAAGAACAATGACACAGATTGTGAAGATGATTTTAAAGCAGATTCTAATAAAATGAAAGAAAAACTAAAGCAAGGGAAAAATAAAATAAAAAGAAACAAAGATACAGGACCAGCAAAAACCAAAAAAAGGAAAATAAATAAACAACAGAAACGGTCTCGCACGTTAGCTCGCTCAATTGACAGTGAATCTGAAGAAAATTATGACGATTGTATTCCTTATGCTGATAGCTCTAATGACGGTGACTGGGAAGTGGAAGGAGTACCAGAGTTGGATACTCGTTGGTATTGCTTTATTTGTGGTACTGAAGAACTCTTGACATCATTGACAGCAAGTTATTATTCTGCGTTTTATTACTAAGTGTTATTTTTATTAATATGATTCTAATAAGAAATTAAAATTATTTTTAATTAACAGGATATTGGATTCAAACGATCAGGAATACAATATTTATTATATTCCTGTTCTTTTCAATATATATTAGAATTATATATTAGATATTTAGAATATGAATGAGGAGGAATATAATATTTATATACATATATATATATATATATATATATATATATATATATATATTTTATATATATATATATATATATATATGATTAAAATGACGAGAAACTGGTGGGACTTTTTGTACAATACAATTGAAATATACCCGCGCACTGCATTTTAAGTTAACGTATTACAAAGCGTTAATCCGTAAACATTAGATAGCTTCAGTAGATTAAGGTTAGTTGTCATATTCAGAGGAATATTTAGTTAATCTGCTTCAAAATCCAGAGCCGTGGCAATGTGTGTTTAAGCCTTTAATGTAACTATTACGTTCATCTGAGCGCAATATAAGCATTATCAGTTCACCCTTTGATTTGTACGATTTAAATATGTTATTCCAATAACCAATGTATTTACTCTATGAATTTAAGCTGCATTTAATGCGTCATTACATCTGCTCTAAAAAGTCATTTTCTTAACTTGAAAATATTTTTTTATTAACTTGAAAATTATACCACAAAGATCACACTTACAGAATAACAGCCGTTTTTTCAATCTTGAAAATCTTGACCACCATGCTAATGCAAGTTCTTGAAAGATTGACAAAAATTTTTAACTAGAAGTTAATACATTATTCCTTAGGTTATTAACATGAAGAAAATCCTATTTCGATTACTTATTCGTCATTTAAACACTGCCCCCATTTACAATTCTGTGAACTTCTTAATATGTATATTATTTTAAAATTTTAAATCATATCTAATCTACGAATAATATATTAATCTACTAAATTAACTATTTAGTTAGCAATTTCATTGATTAAAACTACTTTTACGGATTTTATCGCGTTTTATTTATTTTATTTTTAATACTCGACGTTTCGGGTGCTTTCCAGCACCCATGGTCACGGGGGACTGAGGTGACTGACGTCCCGATGTCAAAGTTAACCCGGAGTACCTTCAGCTTTTTAATTATTGTCTTTGATCCGATCTACGCAGAATGAACTAACTGTGTTTTGAAGTCTTGCAGTGGTATGCTTGGGTTTAGTTTTAATTTTATTAATTATAGGATCCCAAGCAGGTGGTAGTACCCAGCCTGCTTCTCTATTGAAATTAGGATGTTTTTTTAATTTCAATAGCCTCACGTATCATCCTTGGTAGGAATCGATGTTCTTTCGTGAGGATTTGTGGTCTATCAAATCTGATGTAATGGTTGGGGCCATCTAGAATATGATCGCAAACTGCAGACTTCCCGGAACGTTGATACTTCACGTCAGCTATGTGTTCTTTTACGCGGGTAGATCTTAAATCAGGCGAGTAAGAAGTTGTTAATAACGGTGATTTAGAAAAAACGTACCAATCTATGTTTCATAAATGAAACCATATACTATTCGTCCAGTGAATTAAAGACAGTTTTATCGACATTTGAATATAAGAATTGCATGGAAACTTTAGATAAACGCGAAACAACTAAATACAATGAATGCAAAAATAAACCTATTGATAAATACTAAAAATTAAAAACTAAATCAAATGTACAACATAAATGGCAACGTAAAAACGAAACGACCACAGACACGAATAGTAAATATGGCGTGGTCTATAACCTGTCAAAACAAACTCTGGACGACGCCACAATAAAATTTTTGGGAGAAGTTTTAATTATGCAATTACACCGCGAAGAATCCCGTATGAAGACATTATCTGCAGTGTTGAGGATTGTCTGTATAAAAATAATATGGGTAATGAAGATTTAGAGGCCATACGCCAAGATATTTCGTCTATATTACATCGAAGTAGAGCGTCGAAATTAAATCTCTTCCCAAAAATGAATTTAACGCGTTAAAAACCTTACGCAACAAACCAGAGCTTACGATTCTCCGCGCAGATAAAGGAAATGCTACGGTTGTAATGGATACGTCGGATTACAATTTTAAAATACAATAACTTTCGTCAGATGAAAGTGCATGGGGGAATCCGGGAGACTTGCCCAGGGAGGAGACTTGAACCGACTCTGATTTCTCATTTGAATTTTCGCGCTAACAGCCTGATTGCCCACTAATAAGGTGATCAGGTGGCAGCCAATCACGAGCGTTTAGCCATTTTGTCAAAATTCATACGCGTTGGATCTTGACCGGCATATACCTGTTTATCTCATTCTCAAGTAAATAAAAATAGAAAAACTGTTTTGATCGCTGTGAATCGATTAATGAAGGTAAGTAAGATTTAGTTTTTATTATATTATCGCATGATTATCGTATTTGAATGTGTGTACTATAGCATTTTGTTGCAAATTGTGGTATCTGAGTAAAGCAAGCTAGAATCCGGAAAGGGGGGGGGGGGGTGTGGGAGATTTGAACCACTTAGTCGGTGGGAGATATGACCATTGGTTCAAGTCTCCCTACAGTGACTACAGCTGCGTCTGTTGACTGTTGCTAAGTTAAGTGCTCTTTTATATTCCAAGACAAAGATGCCGTTTCAATACAACTACTTCATTTTACTGTTCAATACAAGGTACTACCCGTCGCAGAAAATTCACAAAGCGTGACCTTGAGCAAGCTATTAGTGAGATTCAGGGAGGTGCTTCTATTAGAAAAACAGCCATTAAATATGACATTGATAGAACGACTCTACGAAAGTTCCATGTTTGCGGTGAAGTGACATTAAATAAAATAGAAAAAAAAGGTAGTCAGTACAAAAGGTCGCAGATTTTTGACAATAGGGAAGAAAAGCTATTAGTAAACCACCTTTTGGCATGCAGTAAAATGCACTATGGACTGACGAGAAAACAAGCCATGCAATTAGCCTTTGATTATGCTCTAGCAAATAATAAAAAAATACCTCAAAGTTGGACAAATAACAATTCTGCTGGAAAAGATTGGTTCCGAGGTTTCTTAACTAGAAACCCGGAAATAAGCTTAAGGACGCCTGAAGCCACCAGTTTGTCGCGAGCTACAAGTTTCAACAAAAAAATGTAACAGACTTTTACGAAAACTTGAAGCAAGTGCGAGAAAAGTATAATTTTGAGCCACAAAATATATATAATTGTGATGAAACTGGCTGTACTACTGTCCAACAATGCCCCAAAGTATTGGCAAGTAAAAAAAGCCAAGCAAGTAGGACATGCCACCTCTGCTGAAAGAGGTAATCTAGTTACAGTCTGCTTCGCTGTAAACGCCATTGGAAATGCCATGCCTCCTTTTTTCATATTTCCGCGTATTAAATACCGACCTGACTTTGTTAATGGGGGACCTGAAGGGTTTGATGGAGATTCATACATTACGGGTTGGATGACTGCTAAGAGCTTCCTAAAATTCATGGAACATTTCAAAAAGCACTCCCATGCATCGAAAGATAATCCCGTGTTATTAATTCTTGATAACCACGAAAGCCATGTGAGCATCGAAGTGATAAGTTATGCAAAATCCAACGCCATCACATTGCTTACACTTTGCAGCAATAAGTTGCACCCTTTGGATATCGCTGTATATTCGTCATTTAAATCGAGATATAATACTGCGTTGAGCAACTGGATGCTTTCAAATCCTGGAAGAACAGTAACGATATACCAAATTCCTGGATTCATCAAAACGATTATGTGGCAAGCATTCAGCCAAACCAACATTGTAAGCGGATTCAAAAATCGGGAATACATCCTTATAATGATAATCTGTTCAGTGATGAAGATTTCATGTGTTCTGCTGTAACAGATAGGGATATATCCAATGAAAATTATGAACTTCCCAGTAGTTCGTCTCAATGTCGCCAAGCTCAGCTTGTCTTTTCAAGCGCTCAGCAAGACCACCAGATTTTCCGCAGAGCGTCAACGACGTAGATCAGGAAATTCTGTCAACATCTCAACAGAGCCCTAATGATGAAGTTCAGGACCCTCCATCTAGTCCCGTGCTTGATTTAAATAATGTTTCGCTTCTGGATTCAGTGACTGTTTCTCTAACAAATAACCAACGAAACCCTCCAGCTCAGAAAAGTCCGCAAACCTCTGACAAAGTCTTAAAAAGCTTATCACATGCACCATCAGACTCTGAACCAAATTCACTCAACTGTTCTAAAGTTTATCCTGAGAGCCTGGTGAATTGTTGCCTGACTAAATTGGCTCTCATGGCTAAATTAAATTGTAATTTAGAAGTTTCTTTTCATCAGTGCCAAGAGACTGATATAAATTATTATTATCCTCCAAATTCACCTACTATGTCACAAAAGCTGGATATTCCGCAAACTCCGGACCGTGTTACTAAAAAAAGTAACTATTACACCAGAAATAATAAGGCCATATCCAAAAGCTGCAGCCCGAAAGACAACACGGCGTGGACGACAACCTGGAAAAACAAAAATTCTAACAAAAACTTCTGAAAAAATTACAGATGATTCAAATGAAATTCTTAAGAAAACAACAACTATGGCCAAAGGTGACAAGTCCTCAAAAACTAAAGCTAAGAATAATATTAAAAGAGGAAAGAAGGTAGACACAAAAAAAGCAAAGAGGCAAGTTTTACAAGAAAAGAACAATGACACAGATTGTGAAGATGATTTTAAAGCAGATTCTAAGAAAATGAAAGAAAAACTAAAGCAAGGGAAAAATAAAATAAAAAGAAACAAAGATACAGGACCAGCAAAAACCAAAAAAAGGAAAATAAATAAACAACAGAAACGGTCTCGCACGTTAGCTCGCTCAATTGACAGTGAATCTGAAGAAAATTATGACGATTGTATTCCTTATGCTGATAGCTCTAATGACGGTGACTGGGAAGTGGAAGGAGTACCAGAGTTGGGTACTCGTTGGTATTGCTTTATTTGTGGTACTGAAGAACTCTTGACATCATTGACAGCAAGTTATTATTCTGC